GATTTATTATGTATTAAGTTATTTTAATAAACAATTAAATAACCATATGTTAGGCTTGCATGCTGTTTTAGTTAACATTGCTATACAACCAACCACCATAAAACTCTGAGGCTCAAGACAATAAAATTTGTGATTATTTCTCATGGGCTGTACATTGTCTGGGCTCAGTTGGGTAATTTTTGCCTGGGGTCTCTGTGGCTTCAATCAGTCACCTGGGGCTGGATTCATCTGCTTGGCTCAAGACAATAAAATTTGTGATTATTTCTCATGGGCTGTACATTGTCTGGGCTCAGTTAGGTAATTTTTGCCTGGGGTCTCTGTGGCTTCAATCAGTCACCTGGGGCTGGATTCATCTGCTTCAGCCAGTCCACTCCCATGGCTGGCAGTTGATGCTGGGTGTTGGCTGGAGCTCATTATCTGGGACTGTTGACTATTGAGCCTGTGCACGGCCTTTCCATGTGGTTTGGGCTTCTGACAGCCTGGTGACTGAGTGGGGGATTTCCAAGAGCCTTCCAAGAGGAAGAAAGCAGAAGCTGCCAGGCTAGTTTAAGTGTACGCTAGAACTGGAACAAAGTCACCTCTGTACTTCTGCCATATTTGACTGGCCAAAGCAGTCATAGGGCCCACCCACAAAGGGTAGGGAGAATAAACTCCACCTCATGATGGGCTTGCGCAGAAGAGCATATGCAATGGAAGATAATGTTGCACCATCTTTGGAAAATACAGTCTGCCACACATGCTCAAAATTCTTACAACTATAAAATTATAAAATTTGTAGATCACCACTCTAGGCAGTTGGGGGCCATTGGAATGAGTCAGAATTGTAGGTAAGATCACATACTTGTAGTCAGATTGACCTATAGCTGTTTGATCTTGGGAAATTTAGCTAACCTCTCGGAAAATCTATAAAATAGAACCTATGGTGTGTGGTTTGGGGCAGGAAAGGGAGGGCTTTCCTGAGTACAAAATAAGAAAATGTGAACGCAAAGTACCCAGACTATCTGGCTGGGTCTGGGCAGATACTTTTATAATATTAAGTTGGGTAGTGATGGGTTTAGAAAAAGCTTTTCAGAGTGAACACTGATGACAGCCTGGAGGATGTATTAGGGGAGAAGGTGAAAGATAAGAGTGGAGCCAGTGTTAAGAGCAGGTAGGAACCATGCCTCATCCATCTTTGTCTTCCCAATACCAAGCAGGAAGCATGTGATAATAGCTGTGAGGTTTGTTTTCTGAACCAAATTGAGCATTAGTTTTTACAAACTTCATTTTCAAAGAAACCTCTAAAATACTAGATATATATTTTTAAGGTTTCTCTCATGTAATGTTGTTCTGATCATCAATATGCCCTAATCCAAGGGCTACATAAGAGGGTACTTCAGAAAGTTATGGAAAGATATTATCTTTTTATTCTATTTTCCACGAATTTTTAAAAGTACCCTCATGTAAGTGAAAAACAATTGCTTAGTAGCAACCAGTGCAGATATAGAAGAGTCTACATATTCTAATTTTTTTTTTTTCTGTTTTTGGCAGCTGGCCGGTATGGGGATCCGAACCATTGACCTTGGGGTTATAACATGTGCTCTAACCAACTGAGCTAAGTGGCCAGCCCAGATTCTACATATTCTAGATATAGAATAGTCCTATTCAAAAGCACTGGTCTGATCTCTTAACAGTCATACACATTTAAAGTCCTTATTATGGCTGGATAAAGAAAAAGAAGAAATAGTGGGAAGGAGAATAGAGGAAAAGGAAGTGGAAGGACTCAGGGTAAGGGAGAGCAGTTCTGTGGAGAAAAGCTTATATCTAGGATAGACGGTCAGGGATTAAGACACATGAAGCATGGGTCTAAGTAATCTCCGTATGTTACATGTCTACGCCACTGGCCAACACGAAGTGGTGGTGTCTCATTTTACAGATGAGAAAACTGTGGTGCAGAGATACTCATTCACAGCAGGGATTAAGACACATGAAGCATGGGTCTAAGTAATCTCCGTATGTTACATGTCTACGCCACTGGCCAACATGAAGTGGTGGTGTCTCATTTTACAGATGAGAAAACTGTGGTGCAGAGATACTCATTCACAGCCACAGCTTCAGTTACCACGTGCATGCTAACGCGTCATCAGATGTTTTACTCTAAGCCAGACCTCTCCTCTGAGCTTCAGACAGGCAGATCTCTAACAGCCAGTCTTAGAGACACCTCAAAACCCACTATGCCCCAAACAAGACTCCTGCTCATCCCCTCAGACTGCACACCATCTTTCAGTGTTCTACTTTTCCTAGTGAATTTCCCAAGTAGATGAGCAAGCCAGAATCCAAGGAGCCTTTTTTGGCATTTCTCTCATCCTCGTCCCTCCTGGTCCATTATATCTAAAGATTGCTCAGATCTGGCTGTTTCTCTGTCTGTATCAACCACCACCAACCAAGTCCAACATATTAATAGGGTCATCTCATAAGTGGGTTCTGTAATCGCTTCCTGAAAATCCAGTCCTCTCCACCCAGATCCTCCTCCAGTCTCCAAACTGCAGCCAGTACACTTCAGTCCTGCCACCACTCCCACATTCCCCACCTAATCTTTAACCCTTCAGTGGGATTTCTTGCCCCTTGGTTAAATGAAATTAAAAACTTGTTAGAGTCAGAGCTTTTAATGTGACAAGTAAGTAGAGTTACTAATATGTCTGGTTTACTTCAGTTGATTAATAGTACCTTTTGAGTAAAGAAATTACATTACCCTACTATAGGGAAAAATTTGTAGAATATTTCAGTGGAAAATAACGAATTGCTTAGAGAAAACCTTTAAGGTTATCTGATTATGATTCCTTGAGCCCTTCCTTTCACTGTGTTTTACATTATTTCGTTGTTTTTGAGTTATTTTGCAGATAACTGATAGAAATGCAAAATAGGTTTTATCTGTAGACATGCAAATAAATTCTGAGGTTCAGGGTTCAGTTTACTTCCCGCTGTGGAAGAGCTGGTTTTCATTTGTAAATTCACTTCAATATTCCTGACCTATAAATGTGTCTGCTCTTTGTACCAGTTTTAACACCTGCCAGGTAACTTCCTTAAATGAGTTAAATAAACTCTAATTTAGTTCATTTCATACTTGTGTGACAGTCAGGCTTCTACCTTCTGAAAGTTATTCTTTAACTTTCCTTGTGAGGCACTACAGGGTTGGCACCTCCCTACCCACTACTTTGATCCTAGACCGACCTCCCTCCCCTTCTCTCTACTTGTCCCTCCAGTTCCTCCTCTTTCTTTTCTTTTTTTGGTGGCTGGCCTGTAGCGGAATCCAAACCCTTGACCTTGGTGTTGTCAGCACCATGCTCTAACCAATACTCACGAGCATCCTCAGCATCTTTTCCAGTGCCTCACACATGATACATACATACATAATGCATATTTTAGACAGTTTTGACTGCAAGTACATACTGCTCAGGAGAGAGGTGGACCGAATATAAACTTGGGAGTCATCAGCATCTAGGTGCAGCCATGAAAATGCACAAGTAGCAAAACCATCCGATTAAGCAAAATGAAGGTTATTAGGGACCTCTTTTAGGTAGACTCATTGGACAGAAGTGAAATGATAGTCACTTGAAGGGGGAGGAAATAGAAGCAGTTATTGCAGATGGCACTTTGACAGCGTTTGGCTCTGAATGGGAGGGAAGGTGTAGGTGGCACTGTAGTAATTCTTTAATAACACCATTTTATTATATATGTTTTCTTGACCGACTGAAAAGGGAGGATTTACAGGTAGCATTTAAAATAACAAGAAACTTGGGGTATGTAGTGTTGACCTTTATAACACCAGGCTTTAAATGAATGGTGCAGACATTTAAACCAGCCTTTTGAATGAAAATAGGGTGTTTATAACTCTTTTACTATCAGTCTCTTTTCCTTTTTTGGCGGAGGGGGGGAGGGCAGTGGCTGGGATGGAAACCTGGGCCTTGGTGTTATCAGCACCAGCTCTAAAAAGTAGCACCTTAGGCTTTATATAGCTTCTACTTTTTTTTTTAATTAGATTTTAGATATTGACAATTTAGATATTGACAAAATAAATAAATAAAATAAAAATAAATTAATAAATTAATAAATTAAATTTTAAAAAAACCCAATGGCTTAAAGCAATTTTAAAAAATAGATTTTAAACTTATTTAAAGAGACAAAAAAAGACTGGGTTTCCAAGGACACTTGCCAACTTTATGGTGGCACGTGACCTACCTGGGCTCTTTGGTCTTTGGAGCTTGGGACCCCACCCCAGCACAAAAGGTTTTTCTACGCCTTGTAAAAAGGGTTGGGAGGAAGGGAGAAATGAACGTTTTCTGAGTTGATAAGATTAGAGCTGTATTGTCCCTCGCTCTATGAAATCAGTTCTAAAACCAGACTGGATTTAACCGCTTTCACCCAGAATAAACTACCCTTCCCTCCTTTCTAAGATCAAGTCAGCCCCAGTCACCACTTCCTATTAATTTGAAAACCAAGAAGGCTCATAATTTAGCCTGACGTTGCCCTGAGAGAACACAGCTGAGGAGACAATAGCTATTCCAGTCTTCCTTTTCCTTGTCTTTTTCTAATGTCAGTTTCCCAGTCCTCTTTCCAAATATTGCTGTCACGAGCGCACATCAGAAAACTATCAAAACAGTATGACCGGGAGCTCTTGAAGTTCTGTTTTGCCTGAAAACGATGAATGGCACCGAGATCTGTGGGCAGAAACAGTTCATGGCAGGTGCGAGCCCGGTAGCCCCATAACTACTGGAGTTATAAATCCGACGTGGGTAGGCGGTGCAAAGAAATCTAAAAACCGGATTCACGCTCTCCCCCTTCAGTTTGTACATGGGGGTCGCTGGCGGACAAAAGCCGACGTATTATTGCCAATGTCCAGCTGCAAACTCCAGAGGGCAGAAACTGCCTTTCGTCAGTTTGATCTGGAGGCGATGGAAAAGCTGCGCTAATGTAATTCCCCTGCGGCTTCCTTCGCCTTGCCCGAGGGCCGTCCGGGCGGTTCACTCAGAGGGTAAGTAAATAAGGATGCTCGAGAAAATCCGCACTTGGAAAGACGCTCGCTCGCGGCGCGCATCTCGGGCCGCCGCAGGAGACCTCGGTGGCAGGGACAACGGCTTTAGTTTCGGCGTCTGCAGACCGGGAGGGACCGAGACGAGTGGAGGCTCCTCCCCTCGGGATGCTGGAGGGGCTGCGTCGTTCCCTGCGCCTGGCCCTGGCGCGCGG